CGTTATTGAACACGAAAGAACCAAAAACACTCACACAATAATAGATCAAAAAGACGAACAATAAGCCAACGGAACGGACTTAATTTAATTACATTTGAATGCCCCTTCCTTTTTATATGGGTAGGTACTGCCACAAAGGTAGGTAAATTCTAACCATGTGTCTGCACTTACCCGACGTTAAAACAATGACCGATATAAGGTCAAAACCACCAGAAATGTAATTACTCTCGACATTGTCTACAAAAAATAATTTAAGTTCATTTCCACTTACATATGACAAAACCAAACAGGACCTAAACAATAGTTTTCCTGCGATTCCAAATACAGTCTAGCTTAAAGTTAGCTTGTACAATAATGCTTTCTAAAAGAAAACGACAACTGATCAAACTTGTCACATTTTACAATTGATAGGCTTGCTTACAAATTTTAATAAATGATAGGCTAGCGTTAAACATCATAATTGCTCATTCTCCTTTTCGCATGTCTTTACTTTTTTAATTCGTGGTATACACATTCACTATTTAATTTTCTAGTGTTTTTGTTGCAGATTTACCTCCTTTATTCATACATATCTAAAAAGTTCACAAATCTTGCATCTATACTATAAGCATTTATTTGTCATCAAATTAAATTTAATGTCATTTTGAGAACATTTAAATTTATATATTATCCCCTTTTTCAAGACATAATTGATAATGAAACGGACTGACGAACATCATTTATAATTGATGAAAAGCATGACTTTTTGTATTAATTGTCATTAAGCTCTCCTTGCTTTATATATAATCAATCATTTTTGGCTTAAAAACGTTAACATGAAACAGTTAATATTAACAACATAGTGTTTGTTCTTGCAATAATAAGAACATACAGACAAGGATCGTTTTAACACTTGGAAAATAAAGACATTGCATTATTCAGATAATTTTACCAACTTGCTTGAATACATTAATCCTATAGAAATTGATTCTTGTCAACCAAAAACTCATCGCTTTGTACGAAGAATGTTCTACATCTTCTGATGCTTCTAATGCTTGGCAGAATTCTTAAATACGTTATGCAATGAATTGTTATTGTAATAGAGAAAACGGTAAAAAGCCGAGTTGGAAACAACGTGCAGTATTAAATCTAAAATTTGAAAATGAATAATTAAATATTTAAATTTTGAAATAAAAAATTTGAAAGCTAGATGGATGATAGATCTGTTCTCTGATTGAATTTTCAGTCTATATGACATGAAGTACGTTGTTTGTGTTACAAGAGTTGTTTCCCGTTTCAAAATGTTGATGCCAACTTGAATATAACGAGGATTTGTTTAAAAGATATGTTTGTATGTATGTTTATCAGGTACTGACACTTTTGTGTACTTCTTATGAATGTACTATTGATATTCTTACATTAAAATAGGTTTCGTCTCTATGGCCGGTGTGTGGTCACATGCTTTGAATTACTATTCCCACCTTCCGTCTGTTTGAATATGGCCACTTAGAAGTTTTGTCTGAGAACACTATCCTATGTCAGTTCTACTTAAGATGTAGTGCTGCATGTCATAAGGATAACTGGAACCTCAATATAAACTACATAAATTGCTTCGATTCCAGTATGCTCATTCGTTTTTATCTAAGTAATCATGAACAAAAACGATTTTGAGAACACTTAATATTATGTATTATAACTACTATTATCATAATAAAAATTATTTTTAAGAACATTTAGGAGTTTAAAAAGGTGATTGTTTAACATATTGATTTGACATTAAAATGTGAATAACATTGAATGTCAATTTACCGCCAGTCTTAATTGTAAACCACTTATGTGTCATTCGATCATGATAAAAAGACATTATGAGCATAATCCTCGATTTTAGACGGTATATTTAAGGATACATATAATTCACAATTTTTTAATATAAAAAATGCATAATTGAACGGCAAAGTACCCTTAAAAGCATCATCTGAGATATCTGTACTTGGAATAAACCAAATAAACAAATTCATTGAGATATCATGCAATTGAAACATTCAAACATTCGTGAGGGATAATTGCACTTCAATTGATTCATTTGATCTTTTTTTTTCAGAACAATACTCTTCATCGCACAACATTTTTGAATTTTTAAATTATTATTAGCGGTAAACCTCTTTTGTTAAATGTTTTGTCACGAGTTTTAATTTTTAATGGAATGTTGTAGTAACTTATATCCATGAAAAGTACTTGTTGGTTTTTGATGGTTATTTTTACTGCAAAGGAACTGATATTGCGACACTTTTGATGTTAATGTATGATCATCCTAATGCAATACATACCATTTGAAGATTAATTAAATAATCAACAAAAATGACAACTGCATTAAAACTGAGGGACAACTTGTTTCTTTCAACATTATCTACGGATCATTCAGATCCCCTTGTGAAAGAAAAAAATGCTTATTATCAATTATGATTAATTATAAAACTTATCTTTTGGCTAAATAAAGTAGATACATTTATAAATTTGGTAATTGTATTTTCAAATTTTAATAAAGTTAAAACTGTTCGGTAAATTGATTTAAATTTGACAAGATCAACCAGTCCAATATGCTTCTAAATAAATTACACACACTGGCTTTAACAAGAATTTTGGGATACTTTGAATAAGGCTCTCTAAGCGGGTATATGGTCACGTGTTATATGGTAAATGTTTTATACATATTTTGAGAGGAAGCAGTCATTTGGCTTTTTTTCATGAGATTGATATACTATTGATTATTTAGAACTTTCTTATTTCTAAAAAAATGAACCCATCTAATATCCAGGTTTTTATTCAGATAAAGTGTCGAACCATACTGATACTTTTTAATTTTGCATGCATGTGTCCTTTAAGGTATATAACTAACCCTATATTGTCGATTTTAAGTTACTTATATTGCCCTTTAGGGTGGACATAACATAATTTGTTTTAACAGAATAAATAAACATGCGAGAGAGTTGAAAAAACGTTTAAACAATTTTGCAGGAATATTTAAATTGATAAAAGAAAAGGAAATACAAAAAAAAAATAATAACATAATACTGCTTAAACTGTTAAATAAAGGGAATCTTATAAGATTCACCAATTGATCTGGACTATATACAAAAAAAATACACAAAAATGTTGGTTTATTTTGTTGTTGTTTTTTTGTTAACATTTGCAATTTATTGCTTCTCTTGAAACATGTTCAAAAACATTTAACAAATTGCAGTTACAACAACACTTGAGATGTTTATTGTTAAGAATTTATTTAATCAGAAGATTCTGTAACAAAATATTCTCCAGAAAGACGCAGAAGAGGAGGAAGAAGAAAAAGATAAAGAAAATAAAAAAGAGAAAAAAGAGGAAGAAGAAGACGATAAGACTTAAAAAAGGGAGCAGTACATCAATACTACATACATGCCAAGATGGAAACTTTTTAAAATAGATATGTACAGATATATCATTATCTTTTAGGGAATATTGCATAATAATTATAATACTTAAATATGTTCAACAATTGTATCATTTCAAAACCGATCATTCCAAGCAATATCTTATTTATTTCCTTCAAGTTGGTATATGCATGTTTCTTTACGTACTTTTTTACGATATTAGAAAAGCATGTTATAATATAATTCGCTTAAATGTGGGTAAATATGTTATTCTGTATAAGAAAATTATTTATACATGTATATATAAATAAATGTCTCGTGATAAAGTTACATAATTGTCATTTACTGAGAAAATGAAGTGAAAGATATGCTTTCATAAAAAAAATCATTAAATTCATTGAAATTCATAAAATTCATAAAAATTCATTAAATCATGGTAAACTATGCTAATGAAGTAAGCTATTGCATATTTTAAAAAAGAGAGCAATGACCTATACAAGTTTATAATGTCGTACAGTGTTTATCTCATTATAATTCAAATAAATGCATAAGAAAGCGTAATTTATGTGATTATTAATCAATGAATAATCGTTAATCATGCTAGTGACAAACGTTTGAGGGGAAAACACGTGTTCATATTAATAATTGATTCAACTGTCAGTCACGTTTCAACAAAAACAACAAGTTCATTCCATTATTGAATGGTAAACAAGTTTGATGATCACATAAACGATGGTTCTGAATAATAAAATGCATGTTATACTGCTAGTATGTTATACTTCTAGTATTCATTGTGAAACATTTATAAAGTCGGCCGGTGGTAGGTGTGGGCGTAAAAGGTTTGCACTTTGAAAGTAGGTGCGGATGTGTAAATTGAATGTAGTGGTCCGCCTCATTAGGACTACGGGACATTAATAAAATTCTAAGCGAGAACTAGGTCAACGTTTCTCATACAACCAATCAACAGTGGGAACGCTTTTTATGACGGGGTCGTTTTATTTATAATCCCATGTAAAAATTACAGACAATCCCGAACATTTTGGTCATTTTGAACATTTTGTACAAATACATTCATTATCAAAATAAATCATATGTTTTAATGAAGAGGTTTCTTCACTTCATTTCTGTTGTATTTCATTTTCAAAATAAACATTTGAAGGCAGTAAATCTTACTAAGTACTGAAAACATTGTGTTATTATTTTTCTAGACCAAGAGAACAAATGTTGTATCAATATGTTGTAGCATTTTCTTCTAAAGGCAAGTCTGTGATCTTCTTGTAACTATCCTTGTTGCTTACCCTTTGGACAGGCTGTTAAAAAAATAAAGAAAAAATATATTTTGCCTGTAATTGTATTGGCAGGAAGCTCAAGTAATCACAAAAATGAACAGGGTCAAGAAACGTTCCAGGAACATAATCTTCAAATTACAACACGTAAGTAACAGTAATAATTAGTTTATAGCATTTTAGTATCAATATTAAACATTTAAAACATTTAATGTAAATTCAGTCTGAAGAAATATATGATAGTATATAAGTATACCTTTTTGTACGATTATTCAGATAAATCCCCCAAACATATTTTATAGCACAATTTATAAATAAAACCGACACTTACGTCTGCCGTGACTAATTCTTGTAAGTTCTTTAGTGGAAATTCCAAATATGTTCTGAAGAGCATATTCTATTCTGCTTTGAACAATTTGTGGCAACTGTCTTTGTCTTGTTTTGATAAACACGTATGGATCGTCACACATTTGATCAAACGGTGACCATTTTGTACATCCCCAATCAATTGAAAACCCTCGATAGTCCGTTGCTACTACAATATACTTGCCTGACCAATTATCACCTAAAACGATTTTTTCTTCATAATTATTTTTTGTGGTAAAATTATTCCTTTATTTATTATTCATAATATGAAGATCGTCATTTTTAAACTTCATGTTCTTGAAATTATGTACCTTAACTTTATTTCTATTGTAGTCGTTATAGCACTTAAGTTACTATATATTAGAGTAAGTTATATGGTTGATTATAAAGTCATTGTTAGTGTTAGTGAAAGACAATCAATATTACAAACTTTACCCACAAGATCTTTGCCATAGAACCTTCCGGGGTCCTCTATAGATAATACCGACGTCATCGAATTGCAAAAATTTCGGGATCTGTAAAAGGCAAATGTAGAACATGTAGAGCAAACACATTTTTTAGCTTTTTATAGAATCAAACACCCTGAATAATATTTCAAAAGATTTGTATTTTATGTACTGACACTAACTTATTGTTCTTTATCTATTCTTAAAAAAAGAAAATAATATTTCAATTTCACCGGCAACCGCAGCAGGCAAATGCGATGGAATGTGTTTTTTTTTTTACTATTTGGACCGTGTGTTATCCTAATTTAACGCCTAAGTTTTGTTTAAATGTAATACAAAGCAAAATGCCATCTTAAAAAAAAGAGTTAAATATGTACATGTAACCCGAATATTAAAACAAACGACAGTTTCATTTACGTTTGCTCTAAACCTTCACTCCCCATTTCAACACACATAAACGAATTATAACACAGGATGCGTTTAGTGTATGTATAGTTAATTATTGCATTTTTTGCTTTTCTTATTTTTTTAAGTTACCTCATGGTTTCATGGTGTAAAACAAGATTATCTCCGGGTTCAAGAAGTTGTGTGTAATCTGTAAATTCCTCTGCAATAGCCCAACTGCAGGGTGCTTTTAAGAAATGAAATGACCATGGACCAAGCCACTGAAATAAAAGTAAGTATAAATCATTCTTTTAAAACAATGACTACATTAATACTTTCTTTTATTATTCTTTTTTATTTATTTCTTTTCACTATTTTTTCCATTACTTCTTTTGTCAGTTTGTTATTATTTAATTCCTTTTTAACTATATGTAGAAAATATAATATCATTGCTTATATCTAGTTGTTAATGTTATCTTATATAATGATGAATACATAAAAATAACACGTGACCCTTTTTTATTACATTGAATACAAAATTACATTTCACACATTGAAAAAGTACAAATAACAAAAAAAAAAATTCGAACTATCAAACAAAAATATTCCGGATAAAAATCCTGTAATAAGATTTTTTTCTAACATCAAAATTTAGCAAAAATCTTGTTGGTCGATCGAACACAAGTACGGTCATTACAGAACACATTGCTGAAAAATTGTTTTGAATCAATCGAACACAAAATTCATTTAGTTAGATACTGATCTGTTAAAACCAATGAAAAATAAAACCATAAAACTGATATTTTTGTTCAATCGGTCGACAAAAAAAAAATAACTTCTGACAAATATGCCCATTTATTTGATACTTTCTCTTTTTACTGAACCAAAAAAATATAACAAACACATTGTTGGTCGGTCGTTCAAAAATAAAATCATAGTAGAACACCATGTTAAAATTAAAAAAAACGTTTGTTGGGTCATCGAACAGAAAGCTATACAAAAACACCTTTTATTATAGAAAGACCCTTTTTAAGCGAGCGAAAAAAAACAACTATTTTGTTCTATCGATCAAACATAAAATGTTCTAATGTAACACCTCGCATTGGAATTTATTTTCTTCATCGGATCCGCATAACAAAGAATAAAATAAATAAATAAACAAATATCCGTTTTGTTTGATGGAACAAAAAATAAGAAGAAAAATACATTTCAATAGGAAAATTATGTTCAATCCAATAAAATAGGATTGATAAAATAAACGCCTTGCGTTGGATTTTTTTCTGCATCTGAACCAAAAATATAACAAACATTTTGTTCAGTCGATTGAACAAATGTATGATAATAACAGAACACCTGGCCTAAACAACAGTTTGTTCGGTCATCATTTAAACAAAAGTTATTCATTAGAAAATTATTAAATCCAAGACAAAAAATGCAGATACAGAAAACGTTCTGATAACAACACCCAACCTGCACTTGTAAATTTCTCTCTTAAACCGGACGAAAAAATGTAACAAACATCTTGTTCGGTCGATCGGACAAAAGAATAATAGTAGTGAAAAAATTGTGTTCGATCAATCGAACAAAAACGCTATACAAAAGGACATTTCATTAGATAGATCTTGTTAAAGCGAACGGAAAATAATAAAACAAGTAAAATATATTTAAGTTTAAAGTACTCGTATATTTAATAATTAATTGTTTTGTGTAAAAAAAGTATTAGACATTTAATACCCAGCTTCTTAACTGTTTATTACCGATAAAGATAAATATAAATAAGTTTATTGTAAATAGCCTCCTAATTTGAAGAAAGGAATATACTGATGAAATTAAATCATTATATAAATGTACTTTCTTAAAATGTGGTTTTCTATTTTGTTATATTACTTATTTTCACGTAAATAAATCTCATAAATAGACTTACCGCATTTAGATTAAATCCAGGCATTGGCGGAGGTTGTCTCTTAAGTCTTTCCCTAAGGCTCTTTGGAGGAAGCAATGCTGTAAAAGGTGTTGCATTATGTCCCGCTTTCATAAAATGGCCCGACGTCAAAGCTACGGCTGTTAAACCCACCACAACAGCCGATAATTTTAACATTTTCGTGCCAAGCGTTGAACTTTTTCCACACCAATGAACGAATAAAATTTTTTATTTGCTTACAAGTCAATGTAAGAAAAATAATATACAAGAGTATCCGCCTATTACGGACGCCTAATGAACATTATCTAATTGTTCTAGTCTTATTACAAAAAAGACAAGAAAAGAAAACAACTGATCAAAACGAAACAAAACAAAATCGCAATACAAATCATTATTTAAAAAAATACTTATAAACAAATTCCCTTGTAACTTTTGTAACTTAGAAGCAGTAAGTATTTGTTTACTGTGCAATAGTATTACAATAGATTACAGAATTCTAGTATGTGTAAATAATTATGAAAGTGTATTAATCCTGACTTTTTTGAACTTACGGTTATGCTGTCAGTAAAGTAGAAGTTTCTACCGGCTTTTATAGGCTAAGTCATGTATACTCTTATGTTGAACTTAATCATACTTCGAGGGATGTCCAAAATGCTTAGAAACTGTGCGAGATATACCGGAAACTGTTTGATTTCCTGCAAAAAGGCAACACTTTTGTAAAATTACATGACTGTTAAGGTTGAAACGAAACGATAAACAAAAAAGTAACAAATATTCCGAATGACTTAAGTTTTTTTGTTCCTGAAAATAATCTGACGTCACATTCTATAGCCAGATGTTATCAAATTGAAATGAAATGACGCTAGTTTATAGACCTTTTTATACTAAACAGACTTTAAGCTTTCCTAAAGGTACTGTGAGATACTCGGTTTGACTGAGTCTGTACATGAGGGATAATGAATAAGTGCAACATCCCTCATGCACCCTAGCACCGGCTTGAGCGGTACTCAATTCTCAACATAAAATAAAACCATCAAGTTTCAAACTTGGATTTAGATTCATATTGTTGACGTTAATCAAACTGTTATGTTTTGTTGTGTTTGCATTGTTCAGAAAAGAAGACTCGAAAGCAAAGTTTTCATTCATAATAATTTTATAAAGTGCTATTAGCCATAGGGACACAAAAAAATACTTATGGAATATCCCTTGTAGGTAAATGAGGGAATTTAAGTAAATTAATTGACATTTAATTTTTGTATCATGCTAATTGCGTGTCATTTTTATGATGATTTCGCATTTAAATGTTAAGATATAAATGGATATAGTTAATATCAAATGTGATTTTATGATGATAGTAATAATGAGCCCGATTTGCCCGTTTAATATGCATACTTGCTAGCTTGTAAAACGAAGAATAATCTAATATTAATTATATATTGAACAGCGGTTTATAAATAAATAATGTTCGGGCTAAAGCCGCTATACAACCAAAGAAGAAATCATGTCATTTTTTATGGCTGATGTTTATTTGTTGTTGTTCTCATGTGTGTGTGTGTGTGTGTGTGTGCGTGCGTGCGTGCGTGCGTGCGTGCGTGCGTGCGTGCGTTTTTCATTTGTTTGTTTGTTTCTTTCTTTATTTTATTTATTATTTTGCATGGTTCGTTTACGTGATAAAAGCTTAATTAATGTCGCCTAGGGGAACTCATTAGGCGATTTTTTTAGAAGATTATAATTTTAGATGATTGCTTTCATTCCAGGAGAGACGAATGGTTCTTTATCGACCGAGTGGAAAGCAACAATTCAAAGGACATCATTTTAAAGCGATTTTGCAAATTTACAGAAAGCTCCTGTAGAAAATCAACCGAGTATTATGTCATAATAGAATATCGCGTTATCATGCGTCGAAAGTTAAAAATGATACACGACAATATACGATTGTCAAACATTCAACGATATTATGATTGTTACTATTTATTGCAATGTGCGACTACGCATAGTGATATATAGCATCAAGCGCAATATGTCACCTTTCAAAGTCGACATTACACTTAGCCACAAAGCTTAAAGGGACTCCACTAATGCTTTTTGTGTTCTTTTTTTTTATTTGTGTGTGTGTTTTTTACAATGATAGGAATGGAAATAATTATTCAGGATGAATGTATCATTTGATGTAGGTCTATATAAGTAGATAAGTTACTTATGTGCAAATTGGATAACTTCGTTTTTCCAAATTAATTATTACAATTGTGACAATTGTGACAAAAGACCGAAGCTTTCACTAAAAGCGGACTATGAATAGCACAACAATACGGTTAAAAACTTTTTAATATATTTTTGAATCATCTTTTGCAGTTTTAAATGATACATGCGTTGTAACACGCGATCTGATTGGACGATAGAAAATTGAATCCGCTCGTCCAATCAGATCGCGTGTTACTATGCATGTGTCAGACTCGAAGATGGCTGCGACAAATAAAAAAACCGTGAAACAGAAACAAATCGATAGAATATTGATATTTAATGGATTTGAATTAGGTAAGCTGTGGAATTCTTCTAGTTCTTTTTATTGATGTAAATAATGATGCAGCGATATGCCGCCGGAATGTTACGACGATATCCCGTGTTCCACATTGTTAGCCAAATGAACATTGAGTAGACTTTTCACTTTTCTATAAATTAGATTTTTTTATCGGTGGTTTTGTATTTGTTGTCGAAACACTGATACTGCCACTTGTAAGAAATATAAACTTTTAAGGCTTTTTGGGCCTCAGTGGAGTTTCGTAGAGAATTCCACGAGATTTACCATGTGACTTAGACCACGTGACCAATTAGAGAAAAATCGTGCTTAAAGGTAGGAAGTTCGTGTCAAGGATAAGGCTGTAGCTTTGTTTAATAAAGGTGTACATGTCAGACAGAAACTGTTGGGGCATAGATAAATTAAACAAAAGAAGAAGCAAATAAGTGTGGCTTAAATTTATGTTATTCATTGCTCATTATTTATCTTTTGCCATAAATATATGAAATGTAGGGGATCCATTTTTTTCACAAAAGTGCGATTTAAGTTACCAAAAAATGTTTTTCAGTGTGAAACAATGCTATTATCAGATTTTAATGATTCTTTAGAGCTTATTATTACTTTTGAAAGGTTTTTCATTTTTTCACCAAATATGACCTTTTAGATTGATAGCCGGCTTGATATTTGAAAACCGTTCTTGAATGGGATTGATTGCATACAAAATATTTTGTGATCAGCTTTTTCAGAGCCGTTATATTGGACAATTTACTAACACAGGATTAGGTATGTTAATGATGACAGCAATGAGCGCTTTGACTCTGCCATGTTCTGACGGATAACAATTTGTCTTTATAAAATATCGCAAATAATCGTATGCAAATCAGGTCGGCCACAGGGGGTGAACTATATATAGATCTAAGAATTGAGCATTTCAAAAATACATGCAATTTTTGCCATGAGTTTTTTGAAATAGTAACCATGTTTGGCTTTCACAAACATTTTCGAAACTTTGTTATGGCAAACTTTTTTTTTGAAAAAAAAAATGCATATTAAATCGTTTAAAGATTAAGACTTTAAAGTGGTCTTGACTTGGCACGGAAGTAGTTTTTGACCAATTGTTCAAAGCTGATCGCATTGTTGTCGGTTCCACTCTAGAAAAAAATCTTTTGAGTAACCTCTGTAAATAATATAATGGTATAATTATTTTTTAATTCCTATTCTAAATTTTGTTATTTAAGTCCTTATGTTTTATCTTATTAGTTGTAACTGCAAATGTTTAAAGCAGCATGCCTTCAGAAGAAAACAGAAATAGTACCATCCCAAATTCTCTCTTCAAAAACATCATTTAGTTAAAAGAAAACGAAATGACACTTTAAAATGTTCATGTTATAACATTGTTGCTCTGAAAACAAACTATATAATTATTCATTAAGCCCATTCCGCCAACGGGATATACTTTATTTGATTATATTATGGAATTCTTTTCTAGTACCACTGATGGAACAAGACAATATCGCGACATGTGATCCGGAATAAATAAAATAACAAAACCATACATTATGACCCCATACGCTGATCAGTTCGAAACAATTGTTCTGGTATACATGTATTAAACAGAGATCAAGGCAGAAGTGAATTGCGTTCCTCTGCCGCATAGACGTATTATTGGACCAATGCATATTTGAGCTGGCTTGAAATGAAAACCATTGAAGAACACGTTAATACAGGTGATCACTTCAACTGTTCACCAAATAACAAATACAATACGACACACCCAGTGGACAGCTTCTCTAAGTTCGGGCGACAAAAAAGATGAATGCACGCGCTATATTTCCGCTTTTATACCAGAACAACATATAGCCTTAGGAATATATAGTGTATCGCACAGCGTATATAGCGTATGTAGCATATAGCGGGCGGTTATCTGAAAGTAAAACATTTATACTTTCAGTAATAAAAAATAAAACAACATACAAACAATTCATACATACTTACAAATTAACAAGTTACATTTATATTTCATCCTTAACAAATACTTTGGGAATCCTGCTGTTAATAATGTTAACAAATTTATTAATTGATAGAATTACAGATTATTTACTTTTACATCAAAAATTTAACTAGGATACAGTTTAATCTATCTTAACATTAAATTGTAAATGCATTTACCTTAAAAATAATTAACGTAATTATTTAAGAAAAAAATATTTAAAAAATAATTTTCCCGAGCGAAGGCAAATAAAACAAAAATAAACTTACTGAACAATGGTATCTGTGCCCGAAACTTAATAAATTGAAATACACAAGATTCGTTCTTCACATTCCGAAATCTTAATATCAACTGCACCTTGAAAAGGCGGCAAATCCTGCATTTGCATAAAATTATTATTTCTGGGGACAGTTTTGACCAACCAAAATGCTGGAAGCGCCCTCTAAGAAAATAAAAGTAAAATTTCCTTTTCTAAATACGGGGATCATTAATTACTAGGGAACGCTAAGTTCTGGCAGGGACCAAAGCGCTTCTAAAATAACACTGCGCTGGACAGTTGGCATGATATATTGAAATCAAAACAATTATCAAAACATTGAAAATCGGTCCCAGCACCAACATTCGCAGTCTGGAACAACCATAACTAGAAGTAAAAATAAAAAGTTTTAAATTCGAACCTAGGGCTGGTACGA